CACAGTGAGGATGCTGGGTCAGATCCCCTCTGTCAGCAGTGTGCGGACTTTTTGCTTTCTGTACAGGGAAAGCTCTCTAGGCCCCCGAAGGAGAGGGGGGATTAATTGCCAATGTAACCCCAACAGCCCCAGGCTGCCTCGTGGCTTCTCTTTCACTGTATGATTTGTATGAATTTATTGGAAAACACAAAGACTTCCAGGAACTGCCAGTGAGCCAGCCAGGCTCATTTATGTTTACTGGAATCTATTTCCTTGTTCGGCTGAAATTAGTCTGTAAAAGTCTTGTTAAGACAAGCACCGGGAAAAAGGAGATTTTTAATGTATTGAAACCTTATGACAATGTTTCCAGACATATAGAATGGCAAAATAAAGAGACGTAAAAAAAATCCTTCCAAACTGAATTATTAATTTAGAACTCTCTAAAGAGTTAAAAATAACTATGCAAATCAGAAATCTAGATTGTTTTATTTAATTAAAGAATTTGAAAACAATGTCATGTGTCTTAAAAAATCGTTTGCTAATCACCATTTCTGAGTGAATGAAGGAAAAGCGACGGAAGAAGCTTGAGATGCACAGGCATCCATCCATTCAGGTTCTTCAAGATCACACATTTACATGCTGGCCACAGGAAGAAAGCTTAGGTGGAGCCATTCATTTATTCAACAGACGTGTGCTTAGAAATTACTACGTGTCAGGGTTAGAGAGAGGTTGGCGATACAGGAAGGAAAAAACAGAGGGGCTGCTGGCAGAGAGTAAAAGTCCGTGTGCAGATTAGGATATAGTAGTACAATGAGAATATAATGAAAGTTTCCAAGAAAATCTGGACAAAGCAGGATGGCGCCAGAATCTACAGTAATATTTGAACTGAGGTTGAAGTGTGAATAGGAGTTGGCTAGAGACAAAGTAAGGGGTGTGGAGAAGCGAAGAAGCATGTGAGAGGCAGGGACCAGCACAGGCAAAGTGTGCACACATAAAGAAGCATGGTACCTTTAATATCCGGCTTAAACAGGAGGCCAGAGGGCAGAGGGGGCACAGATGGGGGTACGAGGCAGTCCTACCTTTTTTTAAAATATATTTTATTGATTTTTTTACAGAGAGGAAGAGAGAGGGATAGAGAGTTAGAAACATCGATGAGAGAGAAACATCGACCAGCTGCCTCCTGCACACCCACCACGGGGGATGTGCCCGCAACCAAGGTAAATGCCCTTGACCGGAATTGAACCTGGGACCTTTCAGTCCGCAGGCCGACGCTCTATCCACTGAGCCAAACCAGTTTCGGCAATCCTACCTGTTTTTGCTATGGGAACAGATGTGATGTAGGTAAAACAGGGCTGGATGACGGGGTGAGTAGGGAGACCACAAACAGCTTCGAGACCTTGCAAGTTTTGCCAGACAATAGGTCACTGGGCCCAGAGTACTTTAGGGGTCCTGGATTATAATAGGGGGATCTGTTTTGTTTTATTCCGTCACAATGAGGCTTCTCTTGAATCGCCACCATTTCTAGTCAGGATACTTTGGGGCAGTGTATCTGATCCTTTTCCCACTCATCCGCCAGGAGGAGGCCCATGAGAAGACCACAGTGTCTATAAAAGGGCTTAAAAGCAATATAATTTTTTCAAAGAACTCTGTTCTGTTTTGAATTTACCAAATCAAGTATCAAAATATACACAGATTTATTTCTAACTTAGCATTGACTTGTATGGATAGAAGCTGAGTAGAGAGAGAATATTTTATTAGATATGTGGGGTAGTCTTTAAAAAATGTGTGTATATATATATATATATTCATGCAAAGACTTCCTTAAAAAAAGGAATTAAATATAATGAAAGTGTTCCTCTTTCAAGCCCCAATTAAGTAGCAGCTACTTTAAGGTATGTATCCTTTTAGAAATTATCTATGTATACAAAATATGTGGGTGCTTTTAGTTTTCTTTGAAATATAAATAATTCTATGGATTTATATTAAGAAGCACAAAGCCAACAAATGAGTACTAAGCCCACAGGCTGCATTTTCTTTTTTTTTTTCTTTTTCTTTTTTTAATATATATTTTATTGATTTTTTACAGAGAGGAGGAGAGAGGGATAGAGAGCTAGAAACGTCGATGAGAGAGAAACATCAACCAGCTGCCTCCTGCACACTCCCCACCGGGGATGTGCCCACAACCAATGTACATGCCCTTGACCGGAATCAAATCTGGGACCTTTCAGTCCGCAGGCCGACGCTCTACCACTGAGCCAAACCGGCTTCGGCCCACAGGCTGCATTTTCAATCACATACAATTCCCAGTGTCTCAGGGGCCGTCGCTAGTTGCCCTCCTTGCCTGGCTTTCGGACGCAGAGAAACAGCCTTCCACAAACCAGCAGTGGAGACTGCGAGGCCAGTACCACTCTTCAGCTCCTGCATCTTGAACGGTTCTGCTCTTTCTTCCACATCTATTACAGTGCCTTACCCATTCCAGGCATTGAATATGTACTATTAACAACATGCATTCCAATAATCATATGACTCATTACATTAACAGAACCCACAGATATTAAGAAACTGGGTAGATTTACTGGAAGTATCCATTTAGGTGTCCAGTGATTGAAATTATGCCTTCTTTTCTTGAGAACTGAATTCCCCCTCTTTAAGAAATTAGATGAAGAGTTTAGTTGGTAGGCTTCTCTCGCTAAATGTCTCCTAGAAATCCAGCACGAAGTTCAGAGCAATGGGAGGAAACCTGCCCATGCACCATGTCATTCCACGGACGCAGACATACATTGGTCTTCAAGTGCAGTACAAAGCAGTGGCCTACTTTCCTGCAGAAAGCCAGGAATTAGTTCCATCTTCCTGTTCTTGAATTCTAGCACTGCCATTTATTAAACATTTGGGGGTCTCTTTAAAAAAATTTTAAAAATATATTTTTATTGATTTATTTTTATTGAGGAAGGGAGAGGAAGAGAGAGATAGACACATCAATGATGAGACAGAATCATTTTTGGTGCCTCTTGCATACCCCACACTGGGGATTGAGCCTGCAATCCAGGCATATGCCCTGTCTGGGAATCAAATCTTGACCTCCTGGTTCATAGGTCAATGCTCAACCACTGAGCCATGCCGGCAAGGCGAGGATTCTCTTTTTAAAAAAAATACGTTTTTATTGATTTTAGAGAGAGAGGAAGGGAGATGGCGATAGAAACATCGATCGGCTGCCTCCTGCATGCCCCACACTGGGGATCGTGCCTGCAACCCAGGCCTGTGCCCTGATCAGGAACTGAATAGGTGACCTCTTGGTGCACAGGACAATGCTCAACCAACTGAGCCACACTGGCCAGGCCTCAGAGGATTTTCTTAATATCTATGAGCTTTAGTTTCTCTGTGCAAAATAAAAAGGATAATAAAACCTTCCTTGCACAATGAGTGGAAGAATTACAAGAGATGGCCTTTGTCAGGCATGAAGTGGGCATAAAATATAGTGGTTGAAGGACAGGCTCTGTAGCCAAACTTCTTCAGTTCAAAAGCCAGCTCTGCTGGATGACAATGGGCAAATTACTCAATCTCTTACTATTCCTCAGTTTCTTATCTATAATATCACACAAGTAATAGTATTACTTTAAGCATTAAGATCATGTATTTAGTATGGTTTTGGGTACTGACAATGATGGTTGAATAGATATTTGCTGTCATTATTATGACTATAGGCCCTCAATAAAACTTTCCTTTCTTTTTTACCCTTCATTCTTCTCTTTGACTCATCTAAATCACCTGAAATAAAACTCTAAAGCTCTGCCTTTTCTGGATTATGAAGTTAGAGACTGAAGGACTAAAGGTTGCATGTTGCTAGGCGCTGACTGCATCCTCCTCAAGTCCATCTGTGGAAGCATTAACCCCCAGTGTGACTGTATTTGGGGGTGGGGTCTTTAGGAGGTAATTCAGGTTAAGTGAGGCTCTAATGGTAGAACCCTAATCCTGTAGGACTGGTGGCCTAAGAAGAGAAAGAGAAATTTATCTTCTCTCTCTCCCTCCACGTGAGCATACAGTGAGAGGACGGCCACCGGCAAACTAAGAAGCAAATCCTCTCCAGAGCCCACCCATCTGGGCTGCAATCTGGGAGTTCCAGCCTCCGGGACTCTGAGATCAGACATGGCTTTTGGTGAAGCCATCCTTCTGGCCTTTCCTATGGAAGCCCGAGCAGACTAAGATACATGGTTTCTTTGCATCTTCACACTGGCTTCTTGAAAATTTATTTTTAACAAGTTTACTACACCTCAACAGTAGCATTTCAACAAGTGGGGAATGTTGCTGAAGCTGCATGATCTTTAGGATATAGAAAACATATAAAAAATGATGACGAGAGTGAAGAACTTGGTAACCGAGCTGAGATATTTGGTTTGACTACAGTTCTCACAACTCAGATGTAACCCTCCAAAAACTTCTTGCGTTGCTGGGCCACTGCAAACACTGCACAGCAGAAGTCTGCGTGCAAACGGGGTGCCTGAGCAGAGAAGCCCGTTAACATTATCATTGATATTAACAGTGAGAAAATAAATCACAACATATAACCACAGTGTAAAAGGGAAGTATGTCATCTTTGAAAACAAGTAAGCAATGGTTCATTTCACAAATTGACTCAAAACTATGTATCTTCCAAGGGTGACTGAGGAAGAAGTTTAGGAACAGAAATTAAAAGACTTCCCTACGTGGCACAATTAATAACCTGATGACGCTGGGATTGTGATCCCTGCAGTCTGGCTCTAGATCTGTGCTTTTAAAAGCATTACAAAATCCACAGTCATCAATAGAGAGAAGTTCCCTCACGATGATCCCAATAGTTTACCCTGAGCCAAGTGAAACTGAGAATAAATCAAAACTTTTCCCTTATCTCTTTGTAGGGGACTGATGTGAACAGGAGCTCCCCCTGCCCAATCTAACACAGTGAGCATCACTCCCCAATGGCATTGAACATGATAAAGAATATGTTTCATAAGCAGCAGCTAATAGAGTGAATACGGATGAATTACCTGCTGTCAATAATCATTACATTGGTGGGTGGAATCCCCAACACATCACAGCTCTGCAAAAGTTCTTTCTTACGAATCTCCCCTTGATTGTAGTAATTCCCTGAGGATGACAAAACACAATGGAAGATTGAACAGAGACTTATGGGTTCACTCATTCTTACCTCATCTTGTTCCTCATAGGACTTAAGCTACCTGAAAAATTTGTGCTTATGATAAAAAGCTGAAGAAACTACAACATTAAGATTATAATCAGAGGAGGAACCAAGATGGCGGCATAAGTAAACACCTGAACTTGCTGTCTTGCACAACTACATCAAAACTACAAGTAAAAGACAAAATGGATATCACCCAGAACCACGGAAAGCTGGCTGAGAGGATGTTCTACAAGGAGAGAGAAAAGCGCACCTAGACCGGCAGGAGGTGCAGAAGAGCGGAAGAGCAAAGGTAAGGAGGCGCACACGGGAACGGGCTGGCAGGAAAACAGGAGCTATAGCAAATGTTTACATCAGTTTAAGAACTTAATGAAAAGAATTTGATACATAACTGATGGAGGATTTGAGGGTCAAACAGGGAGCAGTGAAGTGACCCAAAGTTTAGCAACAGCAAGTAGTGACACCAAACCTGGATTGGAGAGATAAAGGAAGAAGGCAGTGTTACTGGAGCCCAAAGTCCTGGGTCACCCAAAAGAGCTGAAACCAAAAGAGGTAAACCCTCTTCCTTTATTTATTTTTTTCTTTTTCTTTTTTCTTTCTTTTGAGAGCCAAATTATTTATTTATTTATTTATTTGTTTGTTTGTTTGTTTTAAATAAATTTTTATTGTTCATATTATTACAAATGTTCCTCCCCTCCCCTCCATTGCTCTCCTCCACCAGGTTCCCACCCCACCCTCTGCCCTTTCCCCACTCCCCATTGTCCTCATCCATAGGTGCACAGTTTATGTTCAGTCTCTTCCCACATCCCCCTCTCCCCTTTTCCCCAAGAATCATCAGTTCCATACCTCTGATTCTATTATATTCAACAGTTAATATTGTTCATCAGATTTTTTTTTTTAATTTCCTTGTTTTTTAGATTCACTTGTTGATAGTTACGTATTTTCTTCCTCTTCATAGAGAACCCCCTTCAGCAATTCATATAATTCTGGTTTGGCGGTGATGAACTCCTTTAGCTTTTTTTTATTTATTAGTGAAGTTCTTTATCTGACCTTCGATTCTGGGTGATAGCTTTGCTGGATAGATTATCTTTGGCTGTAGGTTCTTACTATTCATCACCTTGAATATTTCTTGCCATTCCCGTCTGGCCTGCATGGTTTCTGTTGAGAAATCAGCTGACAATCGTATAGGTGCTCCTTTATAGGTAACTAACTGCTTTGCTCTTGCTGCTTTTAATATTCTCTCTTTGTCTTTTGCTCTTGGAATTTTAATTATGATTTGTCTTGGTGTGGTCCTCTTTGGATTCCTTTTGTTTGGAGTTCTGTGCGCTTCCTGGACTTGTAAGTCTAATTCTTTCCCCAGGTGGGGGAAGTTTTCTGTCACTATTTCTTTCAGTATGTTTTCCATATCTTGCTCTCTCTCATCTTCTGGGACCCCCATAATTCTGATGTTGGTTCGCTTGAAGTTGTCCCAGAGGTTTCTTATATTATCTTCAATTTTCTGGATTCTCTTTCCTTCTTGCTTCTGTGGAGGAGTGTCTTCTGGTTCTTTATGTTCCAAATCTTTGACTTGATTCTTGCGATCTTCCATTCTGTTTTTAGAACTCTGTATTATATATATATATATATATATATATATATATATATATATATATATTTAATGTTGTTACTATTTTATTTTATTTTTATTTTTAAATAAATCTTTATTGTTCAGATTATTACAAATGTGATCCTCTTCCCCGCCTCAATTGCTCCCCTCTACCAGGTTCCCACCCCACCCTCTGTCCTTTCCCCATCCCCCATTGTCCTCATCCATAGGTGCAGTTTTTGTTCAGTCTCTTCCCACACCCCCACTCCTCTTTTCCCCAAGAATCGTCAATTCACTCCCCTTCCATACCTCTGATTCTATTATATTCAACAGTTAATATTGTTCATCAGATTAAAAAAAAAATTCCCTTGGTTTTTAGATTCACTTGTTGATAGTTACGTATTTGTTGATCATAATTTTTATCTTTATCTTCTTCCTCTTCCTAAATAACCCCCTTCAGCAATTCATATAATTCTGGTTTGGTGGTGGTGAACTCTTTTAGCTTTTTTTTATTTGTGAAGTTCTTTATCTGTCCTTTGATTCTGAGTGATAGCTTTGCTGGGTAGATTATTTTTACCTGTAGGTTCTTGCTATTCATCACCTTGAATATTTCTTACCATTCCCATCTGGCCTGCATGGTTTCTGTTGAGAAATCAGCTGACAATCGTATAGGTGCTCCTTTATAGGTAACTACCTGCTTTGCTCTTGCTGCTTTTAATATTCCCTCTTTGTCTTTTGCTCTTGGAATTTTAATTATGATTTGTCTTGGTGTGGTCCTCTTTGGATTCCTTTTGTTTGGGGTTCTGCGGGCTTCCTGGACCTGTAAGTCTATTTCTTTCTTGCAATCTTCTAGTCTGTTTTTAGGACTTTGTATAATATTTTTTATTTCAGACAATGTTTTCTTCATTTCTAGTTGATCCCTTATTATTTCTAGTATCTCCCTTTTCATATTCTCATAGGTTTCATTTATTTTATCGGCCTTTTTAAGGATATTGTTGAATAACCTTATAACTGTAGTTTTGAACTCAATGTCCAATCTTTTCTTTTCCTCCATCTCCTTCCTCTGTGTCCTTTCTCTTGTCTGCATTTTAGTTGTTTCCCTGATTTGATGGAATAACTTTGTGTGCTAGGTGTTCTGGTAGAGCCCAGTTAACTGCGGTGGACAGTCTTGGTGTAGCCCTTTGTGGGCTGTGTGCAGTCTTGTTGGTAAGCCTTGCTTATTGTTGGTATTACTGGGAAGTGTTGATTTCCAAGCCAATTGGCTGTGAGGATCAGCAGTGTCTCAGCTAGGAGGGCTTCTGTACTCCACTTGGATAGGGTGGGGTCTCGGGGTGGCGCAGACAATCTTTGGTTCCCTGTCAGTCTCGCCTTAGAAAAGTCCTGTTCGTGGACAGTTTCAGAAGATTGCTTATAGGCGCGTGCACCTCTCAGACAAGCTTTGGATTCCGGCCAGTCCCTCCTTAGAGAAAGCCAGCCTCTGGGAGAGTTTCTGTGCTCAGCCACAGATGGGGCGGAGTCTCGGGTTGGTGCAGACAAACTTTGTTTTCCCTTCGGCTCCTCCCCAAGTCCCGCAGTAATGGCCTCTGGCTTCACACGCCTCTGAGAGATCTCTGCCCGCTGCCTGACAGTCTGGCCTCTCCCTGTCTGGGGCTGTCTATCAGAGCAATAGGGTGATTCTGTTTTCCTCTTGAACAAGAAAGCCATCTGCACGTTAGCTGTCTGCCCTCTCCGCGCGCCGGGAGTAAGCCAGCAGCGAACTCGGCCAGGCCCGCCCTCTCTGTGTGCCAGGAGTATGCAAGCAGCAATCTGGATCTGGCCCTTCCTCTCTGCACCAGGAGTAAGCCAGCACCTTTTTGCGCGCACAGTTCTCGATACCTTCACAGTTCCTGAGATTCAGCGTGCCTTCTTTCTCCTTCCCACATGACAGAGCCTCCTCTCAGGTAGCTGTCCGGCACTTCAGGGTAATGCCTCCCGTTTTTCAGTTCTAAATTCAAATTTGTTGTGCTAGGCTGCATTTGGGTGTCTAACCTATGCCACCATCTTGGTTTCTCCTCCTCTGTATAATATTTTTTATTTCAGACAATGTATTCTTTATTTCTTGTTGATCCCTTATCATTTCTTGTTGATTCCTTATTAATTCTAGTTGATCCCTTTTCATATCCTCATAGGTCTTATCGATCTTTTCTAGGAAATTCTTGAAAAACCTATAAGCGTAGATTTGAACTCTATATCCAGTTGCTTTTTGTCCTCCATTTCTTTCGTTTGTGATCTATTTGGTCTCGGCATTTTCACAGCTTCCCTGATGGGGCGGGGTTTCAGGGTGGAGCCTACAGCTTTGGCTTCCGTCAGCTCCGCCCTATGCGGCTCCTGAGTCTCAGGGTCCTTCAGTACTCGCTGCAAGCACCTCTGAGAGAAAGGTGCCCTCGATTTTCACCTGCTACCAAACAGTCTATGCTCTCCCCCAATGAGCCCGGTATTGGGGTTCAGTTCAGTTGGAAGTGGAGTTGGAGGTGGCCTTCAGAGCAGTCTGGGGCCCCTGTCTCCATCCCGCCAGGACAATCCAGTAGCACAGCCAATCGTCCCTTTGCGCGCAATGTGTGTGCCTCCGGGACCTCCTTTCGCCGCTCCCCTGGGGTTCCGCCTTACAGCCCAGATCCCTCTGTTTGAGCCTGGGTCCCCAGGGTCTGGCCTAGAACTGGGGTTCAGAGCAGTCGGAACTGGGGCCCAGCACAGTTGGAGCTTTTATCTCCTTCATGCTAGGGAACGCCAGCCAGGCACTCGGCCTCCCTCCTCTCCGGCTCCATCCTCTCCGCGCACGCTGCATGTCTCCGTACCTTAGGCTTTTAAAGCTCCCCCGCTCTTCCTTCTGGTTTTCTCCTTGCTTCTCATTGTAGCATTTCCAGTCAGTCAACTTTCCTGTAGTTCTGGGTAATGTCCATTTTATATTTTAGTTGTATTTTATTGAAATTGTTGTGTGCGGCTGCAGCTAGGTGTTTACCTGTGCAGCCATCTTGGATCTAAAACCCTCTTCCTTTAGAACATATTCACAGAACCCAGTTGGAGAAATCATGATTTTAAAATGAAACTAGAATACAAAAGGGGGTAAATTACCTGAATAGACATTTCTCCAAAGATGAACAGATGGCCAATAAGCATGTGAAAAGATGCTCAATGTCATTAGTCATCAGGAAATGCAAGCAGAACCCCATGAGATGTCTTTTTATACCCACTAGGGCAGTTATAGTATAAAAAAAGCCACACAAAATAAACAAATGTTAAATTATAAGTGTAGGTAAGGATATGGATAAATTAGAACCCTCACACACTGCACATGGGAACATAAAATAGTACAACTGCTGTGGA